AAAAAAAAAAAAAAAAAAACACATTTGGCTATTGATTTCTGAAATGGCATGGCATGAAAATCCTATAGGTGAGACCACCTTTTATCTACCGATGATAGTTTCAAAAGAAGAAGAACAACAAAAGAAAAAAAAATAAAAAAATAGAAGGAATCTACCTCAAAAATGTCAATTGCATAACATAGTTGGTTATTATCAGGATAGCAATTTGATTATGCAGTACTGAAACTATGGTAAGCATAAATATCCTTTTACACATTGACTTTAGGTATTCTAAACACTTTAATCCAAACTTAGGTGAGGCAGGAGGCAGGAGGAGCAGACTCATTACTCCATGCTATTTTGCCTTAAAAGACAATAGAGAGGGAGGGAGGAGAAATGACCATGCTTACGGCTTACATGAAACAGTTGAACACCCAATACGGCATAAGCCAGAGGCAAAGCAGCATCCACAAATGGAAACAGGAGCTTCATTTCCGGGGGTTCAATAGCGTTAGGATCTGTAAAATATTTGACCACCTCTGGAGGAAGTCTATTAATCTGCATCATGAAAATCACAACTGATTTAGGACTTCTAGTGTAAAAATGAAAGTGATGGACCAATAATTATGATGCAAGATATTTGGCATGCATATCAACCAACACAGATTACATTCAGATATATCATACCTGAGATGCTATTCCGAGCTCCACTGATGAGCCAACGGTGAGAAGGAACAACAGAAAGGCAATCGCATACTGCCAAAGTGTTGTTTCACCTGGTTCTAAAACCTCTTTCTGCAGCAAGCCAAAGCTGACCCGGGGCCCACCCCGGGGGTCTTCCCCTTCGGAATTAGGCTCCTCCACCATAAATAGGTTGTATTTGTCGCCCATTACTTCTGTTAGTTGGCTCTGAAGTTTCATGAAAACATCTTCCCTCTTTCCCCGAAGGTTGCCGAGAAAAAGAATGCCTTCGTCTAAATCACCAAACGGTTCTTCTCGAGTTACCCAAAAGGTCGAGTAGCCAAATAACTTTTCCTTAATAACCTTTATGTCAGCTGGATTGACTCTTTCCGGGCCCAGAAGCTCCATCAATTTAAAAGAGTCTAATTGGAAATTACTGTAAGCAGGTCCAACTGATGAAATTGTTTGTGGCTAATGAATACAAAAAAATGCTATTAGAGACTGCATTATTCAAACTTCCGCTGAAGTGAACTTAAAAGGCTTAAGTTATCCAAGTTTTTGGTATTGTTCAGATGTTGTTCATGATCTAATCTTATGTTCTTATCAATCACACGCCACATTCACCTGCAAAGCTACTGTTTCTACTGTGTGCAGCCTCAAAATGATATTTACTCGTCAGACATGACTAATTAATAAATTAAAGATGTTTAATATAAAATTCTCAGTCAAACTGAAGTGTCCACAGTCGATTACCATCCTAGAGAACTGAAGTGCACACGATAGACTACCATCCTTTGAAGAGTTTGAAGAGTTCGCTTTGTGCAAAAAACTTAAGTCATGCAACTCCCGTGAGAGCCCAGCAGACACTCAGTCAAGAGACGCTTGACTCAAACTTGGGGTGAACATGCTACCAGCTTTCAATTCATAATACATTATAGTTTAACTGGAAAGATAGTGCAAAATGGTAATATAATAGCAATATATCCATTCCTTTTCGATGATGATCAGTTTGTTTCTTATGCGGTATTTCAATTCAGATTATATACAATAACTACACTATTTGAAGGAAACAAAAGAGGATGAGTAATTTGATTATTTTTAAATGTTAAAATACGTGTACTATTTATACTGAACCACCTTGCATCGTCAAACATTCATAAGCAAACCAGAACTCGATAGTTTAGAACACTGACCCATTCTGAATTAGAAAAATTCTCATCAGCTCAACTAAATAGAACTTAACTCGTTTGCATCCTTACATAGTTCAGCATCATCACGACTTTACTCGGCATTTTCTAGTATTTCATTCAGTAAGTAGATTTCTCGACAATCAGTTGCTCTTACGAGCAACATACAACAATACCGATTCTGTACATTCCACCAAAATCCCCAAATTCTGCTATCTGAGCACAACGTCTAATGCTTCTATAGCAACAAATTAAATGAAATCCAGCAGCCATAATGCTATCACCCACTAATTGACCTGTAAAAATGTAATCTTTGGGGTACTACACCAGATTGCTATAACAAAATTACAACTCATTATACCAAACTACTATCTAACTAGCCTAAAGATGTTCACACACGCACAGAGCGAGCGAGAGAGAGAGAGAGAGAGAGAGAGAGAGAGAGAGAGAGAGAGAGAGAGAGAGATGCTCACACGGGAAGACACAGAAACCGACGGTTCATCGCCATTATCATTGGAATTTTTCTCTGCCGTCGCCATTGTAGCTAAATTTGAATTCTCTGTACTATCTCGCTCAGCACCGTTACTACTTCTATCATCGTTCCGATTGTTTCCGCCATTGTAGCACGACTTGATTGTAGGATTAAACCTCCCTGAGCCGCCTTCGGAGACCAACCGCCGTCTCCTCCTCAACAAAGTTTCTCCGCAGAGGAAAAACTTGCTGCTGTGGCTATTCTGAAATTTTACACCAAAACCGCACCAATTTGGAGCGGCTAAGCTGGGGCTGAAGCTGGATAGGGTTCCCATTTTAGCTCAATTCGATTCAAGCTTCAATGCATCAGTGTATATACGAGAGTGCATATATATGTGTGCGCGCGCGCGCGCGCGCGTGTTTTTTATTTGGATAATTGTGAATTTGAGATTCTTTGTGAGAAAATATGAGAACTTTTTGCAGAGTATATGACGAAGAATATCTCTTTCGCCGTCGTTTAAAAATATCTCATTTTGTCTTTCAGACTTCAGATCAATATTTTTTTTTTTTTTTTTAACACTATTTTCGTTTTTGTTTAATTCATAGTTTTTTTTCTTATATAATATGTAAAGTGTATTTGTATTTTGGGAAATGCTAAGTCCCGTTACACAATCATTATGTCAAATTTTATAACTGCAATATATAATTAATTTAACGATTATAAATTTTAGCAAGATGGTTTCATAACGGAACCATAGCACTTTCCGAAGTTCACAGGTGAAAAAGTTAAAGAAAAACTTAAAATATCATTGTAGTGGAAAAAAAAAATCTGTCAATAAAAGTATATTAGGTAATTGCATATTTTTAAATGACTCTTAAAATTAGATTATACAAAACCATTACTAAACGAGTCATAAATTAAAAACAATACAACTTAGAGCATCTCCAACCATATTCTCTATCCATACAGTTTCTACAGTAAAATCCCACTAGTTTTACAGTTTCAACAGTGTCAGCAACTCCAATACATTCCCTCTATAATTCACCTCTAAAAGAATATTTCAAGCATATTCTACCATATTAATAAAAGTATTCAATTTTTCATTATACTACTTAAAATTGATTAATCTAATTAGTCCAATTGTAGTTAAAAAAAAGCCCAACCACAATAAAAATTAAAATTCAATTTTAATTTCAATAAAAATTAAAATTCAATAAAAATTAATATAGTTTCTACAATTTTACAATTTCTCCAATTTTTAATTTCCATGACACTAATTAAAATTTTACCATATTAATTATAATAATTAAGTTTAAAATATTTATAAAATATTTTAATTTAATCCATAAAACTAATTAGTTCATTCTATATAGTTAAAAAAGACTCACTCATTACATCTAATTGACTAAAATATAACCCAACATCAATTTTAACCCAAAAAAAAAGAAAAAAAAAAGAAAAATGGGATAGAGGATGAACAGTGGAACGGTTGGCAACCTTTCCACAAAAAAAAAAAAGACTCACTCTTTGGCGTTTCCTGCAGAGATGGAGGGCTGGGTTGGAGATCAATTTCCTCCAAATATGCCGTTTCCGCTGGATATAGGGTATGAGTTGGAGTTGCTCTTAGAAACTAAAGAGGTTGTATTCATTTGACATTTTTTAGTGATATTTCTAAGACTTTTTAAAACTTTGAGATTTTAAAGCATGTTTGTTTATGAAAATTTTCAAAAAAAAAAATTCATCATTTTAATTCAACTATTATTTTAACTCAACTTTAACTCAACCCCACTATCATTAATATTATCAATATAATTAAATAATATTAATTAATCATTCATATACATCACATCAACCTTAATTCACTATTCATTCACTCACAATGTTTAACTCCACTACCAACTAAGCATACCACTTTTTTCAAAAGTAACCAAACCAAACCAAAAAATCTAACAAACAAAAAAATTCCATAAACAAATGTTTCAGAAATGTTTCAGTTTATAAATCTCAAACTAATACACACGTTAGTAATAAAAAAATAATTAAAATCAAACATTTATAAATCGTAAAAGTTAGAATAATTAAAAATAAAAATTTCATAAAAATACAAATTAATAAAAAATTATAGGTGAATGGAGTGGGTCGGATAGACCATATGGCCCTTTATTGCACTTGATCCTGAAAGAAAATTGGACTAGTGTCACATAGATGGTCTTACAAGCCCATTATTATTATTTTTTTTTTTTTTTACATACATAGGTTTTGTATAGAAAATATTTATATAAAGACGTTCTAAAGAATCTTTCATCAAAACGAGATTTTGATCTCATCTTTTTTTTCATATCTACGAAATAATTAACGCATATGGTGAGAGAAAATCACTTCCTAATCATTTATCTCTCCGAGTATTAAACATGCCTTGATTTACGCTAAATAACCGCAAGCAGAAAAGAAGAATTGAAACAATATATATATACAATATATGTTAATCGACATCTTGAATTCGAAAAAAAATCGTCCAACCGCCAAATATATGTTAAGATATACAGTATATATACAATATATAAACATGATTTAACAATGTTCTAATATTAAACAACATGTAAACAATATGTAAATTAACCGTATAATTATACATAAAATAAACAACATGTAAACAATACTACGTGATAAAACATGTAAACAATACTACGGGACTTCACACACTTCACTTCAATTTTCATTCATTTTAAAAATACCTAAAACAAACATAACAAAACTACACACATCAATATATCCCACAAAGTTATTACATTAACCACACACAAATCAATCATACAAATAACAACCCAATATGTCTTGTTTTACAAGTTGCTGTTATGGACGGTGTTATCTTGTTTAACCAGGCGGCGAATTTGTTTTTCCTTGGCTCCAGCTCTGTGTATGAACCAGCGCTCAAGGGGAAACATTCTTTACTTAAATTTTCTCCTTCAATTTCTGTTGTACTGAGGATTCTGTATACAATTTGACATATACTGTAAAATATGGTTAAGGTTATTAATTCTTGGTTGGAGCCCAAAAAAAAAAAATAATAATAATAATAAAAATGAACTAACTTTAGCTTTACTAAGCTGATCACAAACTGGGATCTTATCCATTTTTCTTGAATATGCTAAAACTGTTTGAAATTATAAATTTCTCCTTTGGAAAACCCATCCAGAAGTTGAACCATAACATTCACTCTACAACCAATCCAAGCCCCTAGAAAAGAAAATAAATAAAAACAAAATAAAATCCTAAAATCAAGTCACTTTTGGCCTATGCATGATGATAAACCTCCTCCTACTAACACCATCCACATTCCCACCAATCTTAGCCAACTGTGCCATTCTTCTCTTGGCCGACTCCGCAATCCCACCAATCTTTCAAAGTCTCAACCCCATTGCTCATCTCCAGCCGGTCCCTTGTGCTTTTCACCAAACAACCATCAACCAATTTAGCCATTTTGCGAGTCGCACTAAAAGAGTACTCTTTATCTTGTCTCGGGTCGATTATCGTGCTGAACTCGTTATCCAGTAGCACGTTTGACGCCTTGAAATTCCGGATATGACCTAATGCATTATTTAAACAAATGACAAAAACGAAAATGACTTTCGAAGTTTAGACAAGGATCCATAAAAAATAAATCAAAAAAAAAAACAATAAATAATGAAGCTCAAATTCGCACAAATAACAACATTACTCAATCAACTAAGATTTTTTAACAAATTCAACCCACAAACAACATTAAAACTCAATCCACGAGCTTCCCGTGTGCAAAAATAGCTAAGGCCATTTTCTTTATGTAATTTTCAATATCTTCTTTAGTCGGATTCTTCAGAAAGACGTCCCCAAATGTACATGCATGCCAATACACCACAAATGTTAGTATCGTTCTATACTTGGCATAATTTTGATTGTTAAAGTGGCAGATGTAGGTTTCTTGAACAAGAAACGAGTTTTTTGAACAAGAAACATGTTATTTTGCCACTCCAGTTGCAAGCCTTATTCTATCGCCAACTCCAACCATGACCCTAAAATTCATGAAACAATACGTTATTTTTTTAAATACTTTCTAGTTACTGAAAAACAAAATATTTAAAATTAAAGACATGTTTCTTGTCCAGAAACCACAAGAAACATATTTCTTGATCAACAAACTGGTTTAATGCTAGTTTCTGCTCAAGAAACATGTTTCTTGCTCAAGAAATAGGTTTCTTGTCTGTTTCTTGAGCAACAAACACAAACAACTGAAGTTTATTCCTCAAGAAACCGTTTTCTTTAATGTTTTAAGTTAAACAAACAACTTCTTCAATGTTTGAGCAAAGAGACAGATTTCTTCAGCAAAAGACAGGTTTCTTGTCAAGAAACAGATTTCTTGACAAGAAGCATGTTTCTTGCTCAAGAAACCTGTTTCTTGTCATGTTTCTTGAGCAGAAGACAAGTTTCTTGAACAAAAAAACTGAAGTTTTTTCACGTGAACTACAAAACTTATTCTTGAGCAAAAAACATCATACCTCATTAGCGGTTGTCATCTCGTCGTGTCCAAGAATAGCGCCTCAAAGAGGTAAGAGGTATGTATGAAGAGCTGTTTTCAAATTAAGAAAATGAAGAAATGCCTCAATTTACCTTTACAAAAATGAGAATTGAAGAAAAATATCCTAGAAAGTACATTTAAGAATGCACACAATAAACATGGCATATAGCATGTGAAAACTAAGATGATTGAACTTCTTCTCAATATTAACGTAGTACACAAAAACAATTTTTTGTTGTTATTATTATTTAGTTTAAATATATGTCTTTTAACAAGTACCCGTGTAGTACACGAGTATTGTACTAGTGACATCATTAATGCTTAATATATAACATGCCCAAGCGGTGGTGATTTCAAGATTTTAAGAATAACAAACCAATATATACATGATATCTAATGAACAATTTTACAAATCTTACTTGTTCAATGGAATGTGCTCAAATGGACCAGTAGTAGGAATTGTGCCACATAAGTTGTTATTTTAAAAATCTCTGCAAAAAAATAAAAAATTAATAAAATAAGTGCATATGTTAGTAGTGATTTACTGCACCAGATATATATAACACATAGCATAAGGAAAGCATTAGCAGCATTTTGAGAGAACTTACAAAACTTTCAAGCTAGATATACCAGCTAAAGGCCTTGGAATTGGTCCGTGGAGATTATTATCATTTAGACGTCTGCTAATAGAAAAAGAAATATGGAAATAATTAAGTTATGCAACTCAAATCATATATTGTGATTGCGCACGAGCATAATATCAAACTGAATACAGAAGCCAAAAAACTAGAAATCAGTTTCTGTTATAAACAATGATCTACCAAAGCTATAGAGTTTGTGTAAAAACATGAAATGAGGCACTCAATATGCATATGCAATCTAAAGCTAAGCAAGGTGTATGAAGCTAAACAAAAAAAACTTGTAAAATAAAAATGATAACACAGTCAAAAGCACAAACTTACAGGAAAACGAGAGATTTCAACTTCCCCAATGAAGGAGGTATTGTTCCTGTGAGATTGTTGTTATATAGGTCCAAACTTATTAAATTCTTCAAGTTACCGAACTTGGCAGGAATAGAACCTTGTATGTTATTTTTGTAAAGCTCCCTGCAAGATAAAAAATTACCATTTTGCAGCAAAATATTAGATATCAGTACAACAAAGGAATATTTTAGTTAAAACGTAAGTATAACCAAGAGGATTGGCCTTACAGATATTGAAGATGTTCAAGCTTTCCAAGTTCAGGAACTACAAAAATTCACATGAGCAGCCCACCAAGAGATTGAAAAAATTAGGAACTTTTATTGGTTTCAAAGAGATTCAACTGACCACATTGAAATCGGCCATCGCGAACGAGTTCGGTTTGACCATTTCTTTGCGAGAAGCGATAGGTCTCTCATTCAGTTTCTGAAAATATAGCAAAGGGGGCATTATAAACCGCCCGAAGATCCGTCGGTTCACCCCGGACATCTTGAGACGAGGATTCCCCCGCCTTTCGCTTGCCAGTAGCTGAATTTCCCGTGTTTGCAGCTTTTTCTTTGGCCCGAGTTGCTCGTTTTCTTCCCATTTTGGAGTTGAAACTCTTTCAGGAATTTCGTCGAACACTTTACGGGCGGAACTTTGGCCTTTAGAATGGTGGAAAAGTTGAAAACTCTCGTGCCCGGAGTAGGTCTCCTCACACCACAAATGCTCAGCTAATGTACGACACTCACCTGTGATTATACTAATCTTAATTAAAAA